ATGTTGAAATCATCCGCCAGATATTTAACCTTTATTACTTGTTTATTTATTTATTTTACTCCAACTGCTAATGCATCTGAAATAACTAGTAACGAGATTAGGTTTTTATCTCAGCTCGTAATCGCCCACCGCTGAATTCAAACGTCAAATTATATTATTATTATTCATTTTTTCACTTGTTATTTTTGTTTACTTTTCCTTTGGGTTTCTTAATTATAACGGATGGAGTAAATCCCTTTGGTAGTATTTTCCCAGGTAAATTTTTTAAACTTCGACTTGTAGGTCTTTGCTTGTAAGCTCAGTCGTTAACCTTTTGAGTTTTAAACCGTAGCGTCAAAAAATTTAACGCTAGCCACAGGGTCTCTTAGTTCTTTTAAATGGGCTAGACCACTCTGCTAGTTTTCTTGATTTTAGATGTCAAAATATAAATAATACCATTTATTTTATTTTTATTTTTAATTTTCTGTTTCAATTACATCACTTTGTTGAAACAAACGTTACCGAAATTTAAGAGTATTATTTTTTTATTTTAATTTCTAAGTCATGCGTTTTATAAAAATTTTAGAGTAAATTTTTTTTTAACTTTACTTTGAAAATGAATTTTATTTTTACAATTAATATTGTGATAATAAATTAGTAAAAATTTTTTAAAAAAATTTTGAGAGTATAATTATTTTAATTGAGTTTTTTATAAAAAATTAGATAAGTAAATTTTTTTTGTCAGAATTGAAAAAAAAAAATTCAAGATTTTTTTTTTCCAAATTTGGAGTAAAAAATCCTTAAAAATACCGATTAGATAATTTGTTATATTTGTTTGAAGAAAAAAAAAAAAAGATGCGAAGCAATAGATAAAATAGAAAAATAAAATAAATGGTTATAGATTGATCCGCAAATAATTTATGATGTTTGACATTTGATGGTACAGTAGTGGAGAGAAAGGTGTCACGTCGATGTAGCAGGGGATGTTTGAGATGTTGTGATTCTGGTGGCTTGCTCTCTTCTTTACTTTCGACTCGAGTCTCTCGAGTTTGCCTTATCGACCGCACTCGAGCCGAGGTTTGTGAAACTCATAGTCAGAGCCAGCCATAAACCGACTGATGCTGCTTATGCTGGCTGCTGTAAACTGTTGCATCTTATGCATATTTCATCGCCGTCTTACCATTTTTTTCATCCACATTTACATAAACATTTTATCTCAAACTTTTTATTCAATCCTATCCGCAAAATATTTTTTTTATTTTTCTTGCCATGTAAATTTGATTCAGCACTGGTTTAAATAAATATAATAACAACAGAGTCAAATGGAGTTTGAGTATGATTTTTTTCATACATTCGTTAATTGACACTTTTATTTGTTTATTTTAAAGGTTAACATGTATGTAAATTCAGGCTTCATTAACGTATTCTTGACCACCACTTCTACAAAGTTATTTTATTTTCTTTTTCATCTCTTGTATACATGCCGTTGATACTTAGTTTTTCACATCTTGAGCTTTTTTGTCTGTACACTTCTATCCAAACATTTACACTTTTAAATGAAGAGTACGTGTTCTTTTACTATTCTTTTGATAATTATTAACGTCTTTCCACTGTTTATAAAACCCTTACTTTTAACTTTTAAATACTGTTTTACAGTTGAGTGTTTTAAGCTAATTTTTAACATTCAATTTTTTTTTTATTCATCAATAATTAAATAATTACTTAATCGAATCCAATGCATCCATTACCTTTGTAAATATTTTAACACCAAACAGTTTCAAACGTCATTAATTTTGATAGTTCATTAATAATTTTTTGTACGATTTATTTTATTACAATTCAATTAACAGATTTCAATTTATATATGTCAAAAATAAGTAACTATTTACATAAAGTATGTTTATCTTAATTTAATAAAATGCCATTCGGCCTCACCCGAAATGGAAGGTAGATTTTATTTGATATAAAATTATCTTCATTTTCGCTGTTATAACTTATTGAAAACTAAATTTTTAAATTAATTACAATAAACAAATTCTGCAAAAGTCTTCTTGGTGTATTTACTATTTGGATAATTATCTTGGACTAGTTTGAAGATAAACAAAATCTATGTATGATTTTTTAATATAATAAATGATCAATCGTTATGTCTACTAGATTCACGGAATATTTTGATCATTAATAAGTAAAAAAAATTAAGTTAATAAAAAATATTTAATTTTAGTTATAACATCGAAAGTAACAAAGAAAAAAAGTCAATTTTATGTGCATCAAATTAAAGGCAATTTCATGAGCTATCACATGAATTTTTCAAAAATTAGCTATTTCTTTTCAGTCAAAAGATATACATCAATGAAGTAACCGAAAATGTGATTTTCACTATTTTGAAAATTTTAAATGGCCGCCATTTCTAAACTAATTGACCGATTTTACTCATCTTCGAACTCGTTCAAGGTAATTAAATTACCCACGTAATATGTGTACCAAGTTTCATTAAGATCGGTTGAAAACTTTTGCAGATATTTTGATGACAAGTTCGGTTATATTACATATATACACAAATATATACATTTTTTAACTAATGGTCGGCTGCCCAATTTCAAAACACAGTAACTAACATTTTTTAATTTTTTCTACTTTTTCTTATTAAAAAAAAGTTTACCCGCCAAATTGATGAAAAATTTAATTCATGAATAGAAAATACTTCAATATAAATGTTTTTAAGAAAAAATACTTGAAATTAAAATCTAAAAGTTATAAAAAATGCAGCAATACTAAAAAAAAAGTGGTATAAAAATTTTGCAGTTACTGTGTTTTAAAATTTAGCAGCCGTGGTATTTTTGGAACTTATTTGACTAATAATGATATATGATAGCAAAATCAGGTGAAAATTCAACCATGAAGAATAATGCAATAGTTAGATTCCTAACGTAATCTACCTAATAACAATTCTATTTTGTCAAAAATTAGATTTTTTTAATTCATTAACAAATTTAGGTTTTTACAAAAAATATAAATTTTTTTAATTGGTAATTTTTTGTTCTATAAAATCAAATATAAATTAATAAATAAAAGAAATTAATTAAAAACATCTTTAATTTTTATTTCTAACAAAGTTAAATCTTTTAATTGAAATGAATGACAAGTATTAGATTACTCCGTCTATTTATTAAATTCAACACTCTTTTTTTCTAAGAAGCAATTAATTTTCACGGCATTTTCTCAGTACCTTTATAATGAAAAAAAATTTCAATTATTGTAAAAAAACAAATTTTTTAATTAATTTGTTATAAATAAATAATTTAACTAACAAAAAAGTGAATAAAAAAATTTTTTTATTAAATATTTTTAAATTCGAAAAAAAAATTTTTTTTTCGAACTACCAAAAATTGTTTAATCAAATTATTTATTTATTTTAACAAAATAATTACTTACTACCTTAACAAATGTACCTATTAACTTATTTAATGAAAAAACTATTAAAACCTTATCAAAAATCTTTGTAACTCAATCGAAATCGTCCGTTTCTGCAAAAAAAAAATTTTTCGAAAAAAAATTTTTTTTACGCAAAAAAAAATATTTTCAATTTTTTTTATGCATTTAATCGATCGATATAACACTATTGTTAAATCCCTCTATTGAAAATCACGATATGACTTGTAGAAGTCTAGCTTTCAATCCTGGTCAGGACGCTGCGCAGTCCAATCCGAACCTTAGCGGTGATAGCCTGCGCAGCCTGTTTGGTGATTCTTACTTCAACAATAGAACTTATAGTACGGATTGAATCGTTGAATAAACAACATCCTACACTTATAACCGTCTTGCATAATAGAAAAAAGTTAAAAAAAAAATTATTTCAATAAAAATAATTCGGTGGTTCCGGTTCATCATCATCATCATCATCCTCATCATAACCATGGTACGTAGCCGTTTGTTTACGGGTCTCCTCGTCTCAGGTACAAGCCATCCATCCAACTAAAATGATTGATTATGACAGCTTTTATACTTGTCTGTTGCTTTATAATCCACGGGATCATATTTCCCGTCTATTATATTTTGCTCTCATAAAGTCTCCCACTTGGCTATTCCACGTGTATGCCACATGCTTTTTATCGACCTTTAATTCCGCAAAACTTTTACTCAAATATCTCGGATTTAATATATAAATATAAATAATAATATCATTAGTCGCTCTCTGTCATCTTGTATCTGAAACATGTACGTAAAAATTAAAATAATTTGTATATTTTCCAGTGGTAGCAGTTTCTGCGACTGAAGTCTTCATCAGCCGCGAAACCGAATTTTTCGACGGCTAAAAAATTTTTTTCTTCATTGTATATTAATCTATTGTTCGGCCGAATATTACGCGAGCAATTCAATAGATTATGCTTGAATTTCTTAAAAAGAATCAATAAAACCAAGCCAGACCAATGGGAATTATTGAAGACGTGGTTGGGCTGCGCAGCGTGGTTGGTGAACCCTCGCATGGGCATATGGGTTCACCCTATGGGCTGTATGCTTGTTTTTTTATTACAAAATGCTTAAAGCCGTTTTAATTGGAGTTATGAATCATAATAATATCCCATTGAATTCATATTCCACGGTCCAATGGTCTTTTGTTGATGAACAAGCCTAAACCTGGAGGCTGCGCAGCCCTGCGCAGCATCAGGGATCGATACCATTTCAAGTACTAGGCTGACTTTTGTTGTTCTGAATCGACTTACAACAATTATAAACTCGTTTACAACCTATTTGCAACAATAAAATTCATTAATTATTCATTTGTTTATTTAAAAATTGACTTTTTAGAAATTTTTTCTTACCAAGTAGACAAAATCACTCTTTGGTCAGACATGAGCCGGCGGCCTCCTCTACTGTGTTGGTTACCACTAATATCATTTTTTGTACTTATCATTGCAGATTTGGTTTAGCCATGTCCACTAGGAAGCGGCGAGGATTGAAATATAGTTTAGCTGAAAGAAATAAGAAAAAAATATCACTTTACAGCTACGATAGATAGGATGAATAGATCTCGGCGGAACGAAGCCCGTTACTTCAATGAGAATTCCCCTAGACCACCGGTCCCCGGTAATTTTTATTTTTTATATATTATTTTTATTTTTATTTTAGTTTGTTTTGTTATTATTTAACTGTTTTCTTTTTCGTTAATTGTAGGACATAAACAATAACAATGCCAGCTGTTTATTAGTTACTGAATTGGCCGACTTGTGGCGCTGTTAAATTATCGCGGCTATTTAAATATATTAAAATATTTATTATCAATTTTAATTTGTTGTCAATGAATTAAAGGTTACAATTTATTTAAATACTGGTAATTATTTATTTTTAGATCGGAAAAAACTTCTTTTATTTTTTTTGATTTAAAAAATTAAAACTGTTTTTAAAAATTTTATCAATTTTTAATTTTAAAAAAATTTAATAATCCCAATAATGTAATATATTATTTTATTGGAGTAAAAAATAGAAATTATTTCAGTTTTTATTTTTTTTTATTCGTGTATTGTCAGTTGAAACTAGGGTTAGAACATTCCGGTGCAGTCAAGATTGAAAATATTTGTAATATTATGTGAATTTTCAAGATTTACTGACCATAAAAAATTGATATTGAAATTTTTCTTTTATTGTTTTTGTGTAAGTTGAAAAAAATCCATAAAAATAACCTTATACAATTTTCAGAATGACATTTCATAAAAAATAAATTTTTCTATTTTTTTTTTTTTTAATAAAATTAATTGTAATTTATTATTGTCACAATTTTTAATGAAAATTTGCCGTTAAAACTAAACAAGAATAAAATTTTTATCAATTTTTTATAGCTGAAAACATTGTAAAATGTCATTAGACAGTAATTGAGGTTATGGTCCATAAAAAATGACAAGTATGTATGATAATGTTGTGAAAAAATTATTTAATTATATGAAAATTAATTTAGGAGATATTTAATCATTTTTAGAATTTTTGTAACAAATAAATTATGGCAAAAATAAAAATGAGAAAAAAATTTACATGTAGAAATTTAAAACAAAATTAAATTTTTTTTAAAATAATTTTTTGGAGCTAATTAATTTGTTAAATAAAATCCCAAAAATTGTCACGTGACTGTCATTTTAATTATTTACATTATAAAAGTAGATAATTGAAAAAAAAAAAAAAAAAAAAATAAAACCGACTGTGGAAGTAAGCAATTACCAAATAAACGTATTAGGGACTTAAAATAAAGTTGTAAAAAAATAAATGAACTAATAATGATTTGTTGTTACAGGAGAAGAGACAGAGTCCTACGTCGGCAGGTATTACTCGCAAAGTCCGGCTCTGACACCTAGACGTTCAGCTCTAGGTAGTCACCTGGCCACGTCATCTTGCGATGCTTCAGCGCCGCTTGGATTTGAGCCGGAGGGTTCCTGTGGTATTATGGAGACAAACTCACCTCCGGCATGTCTGCGATGGGCACGCAGTATACAATCATTGCTATTAGATCGAGAGGGGCTTCATTTATTTAGAAGTTATGTTACTGAAGAGGGGAATCAGAATGATATTTATGCACTGGAATTTTGGTTGGCTTGTGTGGGTCTCAAAGAGCCGCAGAATGCTGATAAAACATCTCAACTGGTTAAAGCTATCTACAGAAAGTAAGTATTAACCAAAACTTCAACTAGATTTTCAAACGATTTATTTTTTCTAACTTAAGACTAATTTTACCTATAATAACTTATCTGATTGTAATTTTTCTTCCTTTTTCAGGTATATTGTTAAAGCGCAATTGGAAATACCTGAAGATGTTAAAAAAGAAACGAAGCGGCGTCTCAAAGAGACCTGGCCCGAAGAAAACATCTTTGACAATGCCCAGCTGGAGGCCGAGCATCTGATGGCAAGGACGTCATATCCGAATTTTTTGCAATCGGATATGTACCTCCAGTATGTCCAAGCTTGCCAAAATCCAGAACAAGCCGGTGGTTGTCCCAGTTCGAGCTCAAGCCGGGATATTTCATTGTCATGTGGCCCGAGTTTGCTTCCAACTCTTCACGAGGACACCGAGTATCATTCTATTCAACAGCATATATCACGTTCTGCGTGTGATACACCCAGTGAATTAAGACTGACCAAAGACGTATTGATGGCAACCCAAAAAACGAGGGCTTTGGATGTGAGACCTAAGCCAGAAGCTTATGCTGGGTAAATCTAGATTCCTATTATTTATTAATCACGAATTTGCTTGATTGCTTGATAACCCCTTCATATTTTATGTATCTGCTTGCTTAGAAATTAATTAATTAGTTTTATTTTAACTTGTAACTGTGACCTTACCTTTTTAGTCACTGTTGTCATTCCCGCAAAATTTATCGTATCCCAACGTAGTTTATAATTTATTTTTGTTATTTATAATTTTTTTTAATTAGTTTGTTTGGCATTTATGTGTGGCATTTAAATAGAACATACTTGCAACCTGGAACTAGTCCCTACCACATGTCAACAAAAGGACGTGTTCAATACTCGTCATACAATCCAGTGTCGAGGCAGGACTCGGAGCTACAAAGTTTGAGCAGTGATGCGCGTACCGAGTCAGACAATTTATCCATTACCGATTCGATGGTGTAAGTAACACATTAGTATGATTCTTTTACATGGTGGTCTTATTAAGTACTGGCAAAACCTCAATTTTGTTGAATAACTGAAAAAAAAAAAAAAAAAAAAAAAAATTATTTTTTTTGGCTGCCATGTTTTTGTTATCAATCACCAAATTTAGTTTACTACCTAGCACTTTTATAATTAAATTTATTGTTAATTAATACAAATTACAATTGGTCATATTTAATGGGATTTCAAAGACAAAAGTACCAGGCAAGTATTGTCAATGTTTCCTTGATATCCCAATCTTAAATTAATCATTAATTGTGAATGATTATAATTTATAATCTATTTGATTTATAATAATTGTACTGTAATTTTTTTTTTTATAGAGATGGGATGTCAACGGGACGGCCTAAAAGTAGTAAAAAACAGTTCCTAAGACACAGTAGAGCAATTAAGGAATCAGCAAGTTTAAATCGAGATCCATTGCTCCATACGATGATACCGCGAACAGATCGTGCGTCGAAGGAGCTTACAAAGCCGCCTGATCCTGAGAGATTTGCTCAAGAGCTTTTTACAAGACTGGAATTGCTAAAACGCCAGATCGATAATGAAGAAAAACTTAAGAACTTGTCGAAGGATTCGTCGGTTGAAGAAACGGATCCTAGTATGCATACTGATACCAGAAAATTAGCGGACGCATTATGTCAAAAACTCAGTATAGATGACGATAATGACCAGGATATTCTTGACCAGCATGTATCGCGTGTCTGGTCGGATCCAACTCCCTCGAGGTCGCCGGGTATCGCTTCGCCAAAGTCAGCTGGACACAATTACTCACGGTCACATAAACAACGTAAAGACAAAGATGGTTACTCGACCTTCTCTATTGACAGTGGTAATATTCATGATTTTGCCGAGGGCGATTTCGCGGGTGCTAGCTCATTAAGTTCATCGACTACTCATTTGCCTAAATCAAAGTCTGTGCCTTCTGAGTTTGCTGATTGTCTTCATAAACCAGATCTTTATCTTCAAGGTATTCATTTATTTTATTTTAAGAGGTGGTCCCATCTACACTGAGAGAAAAATTTTTTTTTTTTTTTTTTTTAATGGGCATTGTTGTGACAAGAAATAAAGTTTTTAACAAATTGATTTTTTATTCCCACATTGCTCATTTTTTTAAAAAGAAATTATTTTTCTCACTGTATTGCAGGTTCATGAATTACTTCTAAACAAAGAAAAATTTTAGAAAAAAAGCTCTGCTTTCTAAATACGTTATTTAATTATCTCTTTTCTAGAAGTGTTTTTTTTTTTTTCGAAATTTTCATTTGTTTAAAAAAAATTTGAGAGAAAAAGATTGGAACCATTTTTAAATAATTTTCTTCCAAAGTTTTGAGTTTTTAACATTAATAATTTTTTTAAAGGTCAAGATCAAAGATTTCGTAGATCTGACATGTCTCGAAGATCAGCGACTAAGAAATCGTTGACGGAATTGACGGACAGTGGTGTTAGTGTTGTCAGTGCTAGTATTGACGTTCCTGCTGCTAGTAAAGATTGTCGAACACAGTGGCGTAACCAATTAGAAAAGAAGAATGAACTGAAACACATGAGACATGGTAAAAAATATGGTTCACGCAGTGGTTCTCTGGAAAGAGCTAACCGAGAAGAATGGGGTGGCCGTGCGCAACCGTTTCTGGGTGATCCAGGAATGCCATTGCTTCCTCAACCTCACATTGTATGTATTATTAATTTAAATTTATATTTATTTTATATTAATAAGTATAAGTATTAATTATGAATTATTTATTTAGCCAACGCAACTGGAGGAGGCAAAAAGACGATTACTCGAGGAAGATAGAGCACGTGGTGGGAGTAGTATGTACTCACCGCCTTCAAGTTCAGTGGGATTCAATCGTCGCATGGCACCAGCCTATAGACAATCTCATGATTCATCATGTAGCTTACAACACCAACCACCACAACCACCACAAGGTCCAAATCCATCGAATCAATCCACTTTACGTAAAAGCCGTCAGGATGTAGGAGATTTCACCATTGTAGTGTTCAATTTTTGTGACGAATCAGTTCCTTATAGAACTAAAATTCCAGGACATAATGTTACTTTAAAGCGATTTAAAGAGTTCTTGCCGAAAAAAGGAAGCTATCGGTAATTATTATTATTTTTTTTTTTTTAATTGAATCATCAAATTATTAATTTTTGATTTTACTAATTGTTGTATTTATTATTTTGTAGGTATTTCTTTAAAACAGAATGTGAAGATCTGGATACAAAGGTAATACAAGAAGAAATAACAGACGATTCCGAAGTGTTACCGCTGTGGGAAGGCAAAGTAATGGCCCAAGTTAAGGCACTTGAATAACTTAAGTTATTCTTTATTATCACAAAAATATTTATTCTCCGACTGTACAGATATATTATATATATATATATATATATATATATATATATATATATATATATATATTTGTTTATAAACAAAAAAAGATAAGAAACAATTTAAATGTTCCAGTCAAAATTATCGTATAGTTTAATTTTAGTTACTGAAATAATTTCTTATTGTTTATGTTATATTTTTTAATTATTTTTAATTGTCAATTATGTACTCATATAAACATCAGTGTAACTCTTCCAGAGGCTTCCCATAGATTTTTCCGGCCAAATGTACAAAAAAAGCCTGCGTAGTGATGTCATGATAAAAGTCTACTAATACTTCAGTAGACAAATTTTATCAATGCGATATAGGCAATAAGTTTTTATGAATATTACGTATATTACTTTGTATATTTATTATTTCCATTATTATTATGTTTATAATTATTTTTACTATATTATTAGATGAAATTGTTAGTATCCGTAATTTACGTAATATTCATTATTGACAAATGCAATTTGCGTTTCATCGTGCCACAAAAAATCTTTCATTTAAAAAAAAAAATATCATTTGTAACATATATTCATATATATATTGAAACAAATTAACGAAATGAATAAAACGATAACGCAATAATTGTGTGGGCGGCATCCTGGGGAACAGATTATTGAATAGTCAATAATCATAACGACGTTTTATCAGGTGCGATTAAAAAAAAAATGTGCCTTTTAGTGTAATAAGATTGATCTAAGACTTAGTAAAAAAATTAATAAGATTACTTACGGACGCGAGTTAAATTTTTAGTTTTTATTAATATTATTATTGCTATTATTATTATTATTATTATTATTATTATTATTATCATCATTATACATATAAATATATTCATACGGTTCCTTGATCATTTTTTATTGTACTATTAATTAGTGAACAAAATTTTTTATACGTAAGTTTTATGTAATTTAAATGTATAATTTTTTTGTTTAAATTCTGCACCGTTACAGTTAAGTTAATTGAGGAAAAACTGAAAGAGATTAATTCAATTATTAATTGGTGCTACTACCGATTGTAAAGTACATAATATCCTAATGGATATTTTATTATTGAACATATATTGAGTGTTTTGTACTAAATGTTATTTCCAATTGTTTTTTAATTATGGAAATACAATTATAAGTGAAGTAATTTTCGATTAATTATTAATTAATTACTGAATGTCTAAAATCTTGGTTAATTATATTTTTTTTTGCGTTACCAAGATTCCATTTGTATAGATTGATTATATAAAGAAATTGAAATAAACAAAATAAATGACACAACGAAGTTATTGCTTCGTTTTAAATTAATATTTGACTGCATAACCGCTCAAATAAACAGATGATTATTTATATTCGTTAATTAATGAGATTCCCACTGATACAATATTTATATCAAGGCCTAAGGCTTGTTTAATTTTGTAATTTATTCATTAAACATCCTTATGCATTTTTTTTTTAATTATTTAAATGTAAAACAACTTTTTATAGTTATTTTTTCTTCGAGCTTCCAATTGTTTTTATTACTTAGTATTTTTTTATTTACCAACATTATCTTCCGATAAAAACCATAGACAGATCTGCAATTATATTTAAAATATAAACATGTGCATTTTTAAATAAAAACAAGTCAATAATTAATTTATAATCTGACTATCAACGATTATTGTTCAATCATTCTTTATCTTAAATGTAAACTGTTTAAAAAAAATGAAAGAATGATAACTTTTTGTTAATATCGTAAATATTGAATGTGTTCCTGTACCTAACTAATTTCATTTATAATTATATTATTATGATTATTTTTAATGTCCTCATTAATATTAACTACTGTAAATTAATGTGAAATGGAAACAAATAATAACGATGCAACGATTTTCACCACATGTGTGTTGTTATTCGCTCTGCAGAATCAATTCTACTTAAAAAAATGCTAAACGAAAATTATATATATATAAATATTAAACAAAATCTTTTTGTAATATTAATAAATTTAATTAGTTATTAATTTATTATTTAGACATTTACCTTACGTCTTAAGGGAGTTTCTAAATACATTTTATTATATATTAAAAAATATTTAATATACTATTAAAAAAAATGTTTTTTTTATTTCGATTAGTTTTATTTCTAGTTTTTTTTTTTTATGCTAGGTAGAATTATAATGATAAATAATAAATTTGTAGCAAAATTTTTTATAATAAAATGAAAATCATAAATTTTATGATGAGTAGGAAAAAATTGTCACTGTCAAAAATGATAAACTTATAATATTAAAATTTATAAATTATTTATATTAGAGATAAATTTTTTTATTATATAATTAAAAAACGTTGAAAATTTTTTATATTTTGAGTGATATGAAACAAAAACTAAGATGATACTGAAATCAGCAGATATCTGACAATTTTTTTGTTATTTTTATAACAAATCATTTATTATGAAAAAAAAAATTTTTTTTTAAAATTCGCGCTCATAATTTTTTTAATTTCTTCATGTGAAATTTTTTTTCATCAAAATTTAATTGTAATAATAATCTACACATTGATGTCTGTTGATTTTCGTACCATGAACTATATAGCTTCTCTAACAGAGGCGCTGACACTCAAGTTTTTTGGCGCCAAATAAAATTAAGAATTCTTGATTGCTTTTCTAGCTATTAGAGGCGTTCAATCTCGAATTTATATTCAGCACAACGTTACAGTGGCTCGTAAGGCTCGTAGTATACTTCGAAGTACATGCTAACATTCACGTACGACCGAGAAAGTCGTACATATTTACCCATCTTTGTAAAAAACAAAACAAAAGAATTTAAACCAAAAATTTTATATAAAAAGAACGAAGTAGCTTTTTTTATCAATATATAGATAACCTTAAAAAAATATAACAAGAATGCTAGCGAAAAATTGCTGTTAAAAACTCTTGATTAAGAAAAACAATGCACCAAAATTTCTAAGAAGCAAGTAAAATAAAAGTAAGTATTTTATCATATTATGATACTGAAATTGGCAATAAAAATTAAATTAGCAAAAATCTGGCAATTTTTAGGATTTTTCTCATTGAAAGAATTGTTACAAAAACAATGAAAAGATAAATTGCACACTTAAAAGATTTTCTTCATTGAGAAATTTAATTTGAAACAATTCAAAATGATTTGAGTTGACTCACATATAAATATACACATTGCGTGGATTTAATAATTTCAAATTAGATTTCTCAAGCAGGGTTGAAAAAGTACAAGAGCAATCTTTTATAAATATTTTTTTGGTTCTAATTTAATTACTTATTTTTTAATAAAAAAATTTATGTGCTGAAGTTAGCTGACAGCTGTCAATTTTTTAAATTCCAAATCAATAACAATAATAAATAGAAATTTATTCTGATAACTTATTTTAATTTTCACCTGTGAATTTTTTTTATTAAATTTTTTTCATAATAATTTAATTGCTGTAAAATTCTAAAAAAATTTCTCTTGGTCAACTTCAGTGTCATAAAAATTTTTAAATGTCTGCTAATGGGATCATAAATTGGCAGACGCCTGACAATTTTTAGAATTTTTATAACAAATCAATTATGATAACAAAAAATATTATAAAAAATTCACACTTAAAATTCTTTGAAATTCTACAGGCGCAATTTTTCTTCAAAATGATTTAACTGTTATAAAAAATCAGAATAATTGTTAAATGTTTGTGAATTTCACTATCATTGTCATATATCCCGTATTCTAGTCACATAATTTAAGTTTATTGCGTAATACATAATATACAGTAAGGATAAGTACAATAGGAAGATGATGACATCAGCATGAAATAATTAGTAAGAGATATTTTAATGTCAGATAGTTGAGGTCATTGAGGTTGTGAGGTGCGACAGGTGAGTTCGCCCTTTTGCGCACTCCCTCCACAAAAAACCTGGCCAAGAACCTTATTCGCGCATGTGAAGATGACTCGAAAAAGTAACCGTCTCGTGTGTACATAATCTGTCAACTGACAACTCAACACTCTTGCTCCTGTACTTGCTGGACCTGGTGTTAATTAATAAATTCATTATTTTAGCTGATGTTTATATATAAATATATTTAATAAAAACAGTTATCAATTACAAATCGAAAAAAAAAAGTGTTCAAGCAAAAGCTCAATTATAAACAATAATAATAACTAAAAATTAATTTTAAGAACCGTTAAAAATAATTATTGTTAAAATCATTTTAAGATAAACTGTTGAAATGCCTGCGAATAAAGGACCATTGTTGACGTCATCCATTAAGGAAAAACCGGGAAACGGTGGTGGTTTGGGTGCTACAACGTCCAAGAAGAAAAAACAACGTGCTACGGTTAAAAATAAAAAAAATTGCAGACAATACTTGGTAAGTGATTATCAATAACAAAAAACAATAAATCAATTATTAGTTAGTAATATTGAGAATTTTTTTTTAATTTCTATTTTATTTTATGATTTTATCCTGGTAGTTTAGCAATCATAGGAGTGGAAACTTTGAGTCATTTTTTATTGTTTACTTCCTTCCTTTGTTATCATTATTATTATTATTTTCTTTGCTATTATGATCCTTACCCCATTTAAAAAGACATAATAGTGTATGAGTCCATATCGATTAATATGTATTTATATATTTGTATATATATTGTGGTCTATAAGACGTGCGTTCGTCGACCGCGCGGAAATGCGAGACGAAAGATACACACACACAATACAAAAAGGGTTTGTTAACCTTCTGCACCCCCTCGCGACCCGTATGCATGTCTGATAATAATATCCACGCGTTGAGAATATTGCGATCGATCGCGGTTGAAAGATAGGGCATGGTTAATTACTTGTCCTTCTGCTTATACATATTTTTAATAATTACATCATCTTCACCATTTTTACTGTCAAGATCAAGTTTTTTTTACTTGATAATGATTATTACCTGTATTAATTAAAAAATTACTA